GCTCCTCCCTCCTCATTCTCCAGTCTGTTTTTCATAGATTAACCAGCCTAATCCTCATAAAATGCAAATCCAATCATGGCATTTCCCCCTGGCTTCCCATTGCTTTGAGAATAAAAATCTGAAATCCTGAACATTTCTTGTGAGGCGGTGCCTGACCTGACTCTGGTCTCTCTCCAGCCTCCTCCCATGGCTCTCTCTCTCCTCCCCTCTCACCACTCTGGCTTGTTTTCTCCTTATTTATTACAAGCCCTTGAGTGTCTCAAAGCCTTTACAATTGCTGTTTCCTCTGCCTGGAATACTCATCTTCCAGATTCTATTTGAATGGTTTCTTCTTATCCTTCAGTTCTTAGCTCCTAATTCTTTTGGCCAAGAACGTTTCTAACTACCCCATCCTTGATAGATACTCACTCTGTCTCTCTTGTTTATTTCTCTTCATAAACTACAATTGCTTCACTTATATATTTACTAACGAACTGTGTTGTTCCCACTCTAGCACCCAACAGAGAGCCTGAGGCATCACAGAACAGAAAATGAGTGTTGAATGAGCAGAGCCCACAGACACCATCCTACAGCTCCAATAAAGCACACAGCAGAGTCCAAGCGAGGGAAATGTCACTGCCTGATTGTGAAAGCAAACAGCTAGTTAAACTTACAAAAACATGCTTTCCGTTAAAATCACAGAAGATATTTTCTAACTCATTATGCTGAGCTGGGGAGCAACATGCAAAGATAATAAACACATTTAATTTGAAACAGGTGGCAATCTGGTCAGTTCCCCACTGGTTGCTTGACTTGGGGCCCTTTGAAAGCATTCTTGTCTCTTTGACGTCTTCTGAGTATAATTTTTATGGGCCAGAATGGGCTCCGGTGGTGGTCACCCCAGCTCCCCAGCAGTCACTCGAAGACCCTATTCATCTTGACAAGACAAAGCTTACCTGAGCAAATGAGTCCTTGGACCCACACTCATTTGCATATCTGTCTGGGTCTGGTACATGATTATTCTTAGCTACAACTTTAAACACAAGCAGCCCTAACCCTGATCCAATCAGCGGAAGAGTTTTGTTTTTCTAAAAAACTACCCAGCACACAGAGTGCTTAAGATGGATCTTTTGAGAAGAGCAAGTAGGGACACTGTTATTTCTAAATACTTAATTGTTCTTATCTAATTCTCACCTTTAGGATGCTGGTTTTCAGATTAAGTTTCTTTGGCTTTCACGGGGGGGAGATAAACCCACACTAGATGTTACAACTTGGTGTTTCTGCAGATGGGCTGACTGAATGATGCCAAAACAAAATCATATCCTGCTCTCTGAGCTCTTACTGTAGCAGAATATTTTTAATGAACCCCAGATGCAACCTTCATGGGGACAGAATCACCCCCTTGAGTGTCTGCTCCTGAGTCTGCTCATCACTGTAGATCTGGGCTGATTAAACATGTCCCCCAATTCCGACTCTCCCTTCCACATGGTTAATATTTGGAATCTACTGCCTTTTGTTCCCCTCTACCTTCACCTAATACTTTGTCATCCATCCATCCATCCATCCATCCATCCATCCATCCATCCAATATGAATTGAACCAGACACAGTCCTGCATACTAGGGATACACTGGTGAACAAGATCGCGTCTATGACCTCATGGAACAGAAAATCTAATAGTGGATACAGGCATGAAGATGGACTGTTTATTGCACAATTGTTCATTACTAGATAGAGATGCTGTATGTTAAAGGTGATAGAGGCTGGTGGGAGGGCAAGTCTACATCTAAGAGTGAGAGTTGAGGGGTATGGTGGACAGCACCGTAAAGCATCTCATAGGAGTTCGCCAGGAGGAGAGGGGTGCAGAGGAAAGTGGTGCATTCCAGGTGGAAGGACAAACACAAGCCAAGTCACGGAAGCCTGAGAGCCCACAGCATGTCCCGAGCACTGGGGTGGTTCTGCTGGTGAAGCAGCACTAGGGGAGGCGTGGAAGAGAGAATGGAGGAGTGAGCAGGGTCAGATCAGGAAGGACCTTCTGGGTCTCACCAAGTGGGGTGACTTGGATTTTTGAGAGCAGAGAACTGTTTAATACTTCCCCCAAATGTACAGTAAACACATAATTGTTATGATGGGAAATGGCAAAAAAGGAACAGAAAACACAATTTGACCTGCAGTACATTAATCCTATCCCATAAAGACGATATACTAGTTCTTAGATATTTCCTGACCTGCAGTGTTTCATCCCTATAAGAACTGTCTTCTTTCTAATATATATGTGTATGTCTCTTTGTGTGTCTCTGTGTGTGCATGCATGTACACACGTGTTTAATTCTTTGGTGTTATCACTGGAAGCATTATATGTAGAACACCTGTTCTCCACGTGTCCTGCTCCTTGGGAGACATTCCCACCCTTTGTCATTATGACTATCTATATATAGAAATGCTTAAGCTACTGTCTGACCGCCTGACCATCTGACTGTCTGACCGTCTGGTAGGTATGACGTGCAATGACCACCAGGGGGCAGACGCTCAATGCACAGGCATGGAAACATGGAACAGACTGATAAATCTCAGAGGGAAGTGGGGAGGGGAGAGGGCGGGAAGAGATTAACCAAAGATCTTATTTGCATACCAGAGGCCCGGTGCACAGATCCGTGCACTGGTGTGGTCCCTCGGCCTGGCCTGCAGGGATCCGGCCAAAACCAGCTCTCTGACATCCCCCGTGGGGTCCTGGATTGCAAGAGGGTGCAGGCAAGGCCGAGGGGCCCCATTGGTGCACGAATCTGTGCACCGGCCTCTAGTGTGCAAATAAGCAAAAATAAGCTGAAAGCATCCATTTCTTTTCCTTCCAGATTAAATACATGTTCATTAAGTTGGGGGTCCCACTTCAGCTCCTTCCTCTTCCGACCACTTGCGGGGCCTCTCCCATGGGGCTGTTGCATCACTCAACACATCACACCTGATGATGTAGTTTTTTTATTTTATTGTTTTATGTCTAGAGTTCCCCATGAGAGGAAGAAGGAGAACAAGAAGCATGAAGAGCCGCCTGAAGGCCTGGCCCAGCCTCATGGTCAGCTGCTGGAGAAGGGCGAGGGTGTCCACATCCCTGAGGACAGAACAGAGGACACAGGAGGTGACCAGTCTACTGAGGAAGGCCCTCCTCTCAGCAAAACAGAAGCACGAAAAGATGCCAAAGGTAGGGCCAGCCCAGGGCTAGGGACCCAGTCCTGGTGCACCTGCTAGCATTCTCCAGTTTTATGAAACAGGGTCCTGGAGTAGGAGCCTCCTGGGCCGGGGGCAGAGCAGATGTGAGAGGAAACAATTAAAGTTGTAAACCGCAGCTCTGCAGAGCTACTGCTGTTTATGGCAACTCCTGGCTCCAAAGCTCTCATTTCCAGATTTAAGTATTATCTGGTTTTGGGCCAAAGAGAACCGCTCCCAATGAAGCCAAAGGCTGTGCATGTCAATGAGCTGAATAGCCACACACTAGGGCCTGGGTCCCTGAGGGTCAGCCTCGTCTTTTCCGTGAATCTGACTCTTGGAAGGAACAGCGAGCGCTCCATCTCCAAGGGGATGGCTTGCTGCTGGCCAAGGGCCCACAAAGCCTTACCCCATTCATTGCCTTTATTTGTGTAGAGACGGGCCCTTCCACGTTGGACTCAGTCTCGAGCCCAGCAAAGCACATACCTGAGCCCCGGGCACATCCCTTGAAGGCAGGGACCAGCCACCAGCCAATGAGGTATCTCAAGTAGGAGGAACAAATCTCAGCTCCCAAAGCTCTCATTTACCAACCTTGAGTTAGACGTAGGGAGTAGCCTGTATTGTTTGTGCCCAGAGAGCTGGGGAAGGTGCAGAGGCAGCACATCCTTGCCTTTCCATCTGTGCCTCTAGCTAAAGAAATCAAACCTTCGGCAAATACATCTACGTTTCTGCGAAGTGTGCCTTGCTGATCGAGGAGGGAAAAGCCAGAAAGTGTTTCTTAGGTGAAAAGGTATCTTTAAGCCTCATTTGTTAACCGGCAGATGCAGCTCTTTCTGGTCATTAGCATAGACCTATCACTCCAAGTGTTACACGCAGTGACAAATTGCAGTTGCCAAAGGGGATACATCAATTCTCCTAATTACCTTTAGAGCCCTAATCACAGAATCAGAAAGGGTGTCTAGTTACATCGACGCCGCTCACTTTTACGCCGCTCACTTTTTTGAAAATCAGTTTCAATTCCCTCATAGTCGTCTTGGTTTTAGTCACATTCAGACCAATGAAAGCTGTGACGATGTAAACCAGGTAAGACCGAGGTTGGAAAAATGGGTCTTTTGCAAAGCCTGGTCTTACTCCCCAGGACGGAAACCAGTAATTAAGGAGAATTGCAGGGTAAGAAAAGATGCAGCAAAAGTAGGGGGCGGGGGGAAGAAACCCTTTATCTTAGTGAAGCCAGTGCAAAGTCTTCGTTGCACATGGAGTTCAGAATGAGCGTCAACTTGGGAGAAACTGCCTCCCAGCTCAGACACTTTCTGAGGCTCTGCCCATGAGTGACAGCTTTTGCAGACACCCCCACACAGTTACATGGACCCCCCTCACTCTCCCAGACTTCCCAATGCATAGTCCTCTCCACTTCTGTTTAGAAGTCAAAG